TTATGTTAAATTACCAGAGGGTACTTTCTTTTCTAGGCGCTCTGAACTCTTCTCATGGCTGATCGCGGTGATCGAATGGTGATCGAAGAGCAAGTTCCACTAAATCTGTGAACTTTTTTGAGTATGGGTCAAAACCCTAGTGCCCCGTCGAACACCAAAATAATCCAAAATAATCCAAAATAGCTGGCAAATGGATGCCGTTGGATGTTCATCCCTCAATTCCAATGGTTCCTGAAGCTTTGACCTATCGGACCCATCGCCTTTTGTGCAAAACCACAGCTTACTGAGATCAAAGCACAACAGCCCAGCTTGCCATTGTGTCGATGGCCTGGGAGAAAACGAGCTATGGGCACGCTGGTCGTCACACTGAACGTCACTGGGACACCACTTGATATGGTGGCGGTGGTCGTGATGATGACGACAACGACGACGACGGCGACGACGATGTGTTACTGTAGTTAGATGTAGTTAGTATTGTTACTATAATATACTGTGCCCATTTATGATGATGATTCCGGACGACAGCGACGATGATGGCGACAACGGAACAGCACCTCACATAGAATGACACGGGCTGTTCGGGGCCAGGAGGCAGGCCTACCATTCAGCGGGCCGCGAAGACCATGCTCATTCGTGACCTCTTGGCGCACCTGGGAACGGGCACATTCCTGTGCGGACCCACGCACGCTCAGAAACACATTGGTACTCATGCAAATTGCGTATGGCTTCACCAAGACAAGATAAAAATTTGATTTCAATTTTCGAATCACCAAGGAACGCAGCAGAAATACTGGTAGTCTAGTATTGTGTGTTCAAGGAGCTTTCCCATTTGCTTGGTGCCTTCATGCAAATGACGTGGCAGCAATTGGCCAGATGTTCTTGCAAGTCGGGCCTTGGAACAGGTTTCGAATGGTTCCGAGGTAGCAGTTGGCCGCACCAGTCACTTGGACCAACGGGGGTCCGGGGTCTTCCATAGTTCCTTGAGATATCTTCAGATCATGTCCTAAGAAAACCAGATATAGAAGACTGATTGGGGAGGTAGCCAATTGATCCAACATGATCCAATTATTCTATTTTGATCCATATTGATCTTTTTGGATCCCCAGATTAGGCCTTTATTGGTTGATGCGATCACCTGAGTCGTAGCCAAATCCAAACTGGACGAAACCGGGAGACGTCAGAGCACTGACAGGCATCAACCGCGCTCGGTTAAACCTGGTGCGAGGTCAGTGAAGCAGTCATTGGCAGGTCGAATGAGGCAACCATTTTTCTGCAAATCCTCAAGCACAAGCCGGTGAGGCCAAGCTGGTCCTTAGCGGTCAGGAACAATATATAACAATATCTACAGATATCATCAGATCTGACTGGCAAAGTATGTTACTAGTCGTGATCCGGTCGTGATTCGGTCGTGATCCGGTTGCAGGGCTTTATAGATCACCAGGGATGAAACAAACTTTGTCGCATCACCCCCTTGAAGTTGCCAATGGAGTGACAGGCTTGCTTTGAAAGGAGGATGTTGCAACCTGCCGAGGCAATCTGAGTTTGGGTTTTTCTGGGTTTCAGGTTCTCTAAGTCTGTTGCTCTTTCCATCCTCACGCGCAAGGAAGCCAGCCACTGCAGCAGTAGAGAGCAAGTACGTGGTTTTCACCTCCCAGCTTCCGGCCCCAAGAAGGGTCGGTGGAGAAGCTGATCTGGTGTTCAAACCAAGGTAGCTTGTGAGCAAATCTTCACCTCTCGAAATATGGTATCATAATGTATCATAGCTATTGACCAATTCCCATATTAGAATATCAAAGAACATATATAGTATATATATATACAGTAATATTGATAATATTTGGCACTATATTTGATAATATTTAATACTATTTAAACATATTTGTCAATACTGAATAATCATTCCGTTTTTGAAAGACTTTTGATTCTGGTCCACTGGGACAAACCACTGGGTGTCAGGCATTGATGGTCTCGTGTGGCCGTTCAAATAGACGGTGGGACCTGAGCAGTCTTCGTTCGTCAAACTCGTTTCCAGTGAAGCCATGTACAGTCGGGTACTAGAACATTGTTGTGGCATGTTGTGGCACCATAAAAAATGCTGGCAACTCTAGATGCCGTCTGAGACAAGTCCGTTTTGGGAGACATTCTTTTTAAATATCCTTAATGTTCATTTATCCTCATTAATCCTAATGGAGAATCAGAATTATCTATTAATGTTATATCCCCATATATCCCCATGATATATGGATCTATCATCATCTATTCTCCCCATTAATCCTCATCAATCCATAGGTAACTTGATCCATCCCCATATATTTTTAAGTTTTTTTCCATAGGTTTCCCGCAGGATCCGTCGCAAGATACACCGCTGGTCGTTTTTCACCGAGGCCCAAACACTTCCTTTGGCATCCATGGGATGGACATGCTGGGCCCGTTGAAATCTATGTCGCTTATTATCATGTAGTTGCCCTGCATATTTGGCGCATTCCGGAGTGGAGTCTACTGCTACAACATGCTGCCACCTTTTGCTCACTATTTCGACTATTTGGATACTTTGTTGGCCACTTTCTTGGACAGTCCTGGAGCAGGACAGGGCCGCAAGAAGTCAGCGCATATAACGAGCTTCTGCAAAATATGTCTGTTCCATAGTGGCACAAGGCTTTCGGACAAAGTGATGGAAGATGATGGAAGATGATGGAAGATGATGGAAGATATGAAAGTGCAGCTAAGCTCTGCTCAAGACCTCATTCCCGCAGCCCCAAACCCAGTGTCACAAAGACCATCAAAGACCTACTTTAAAAGCATGGCCCGGCGACGAATCATGTCACTGCCGGTCCCTCCCACATTGATTCTCCACCGCAGCAACTATGGTCCACTCCTGGGTTCCGACGTGTCGAATTGGCCCCTTTGAAGGGCCAGTGAAACAAGTGCCAGGGGCTTGCTGAGAGGCTGTGACTCGTGGGGTAGGCCCAAAATCTCATGGATCATCATTGTACCCATTGACAATCATTCACATGGCCATCTTGGGATATCTCATGATATCTCCCATTTTCTGGGCGCCACTCAAAGCTTCTGCATGCTTCTGCCTTCTGAAATCCAAAAGTTTCGAGGACCGCTTCTCAACTTGCCCAAACAGCGCCAACTTCGTGCGCATTCCACCCTGATGTCGCAGAGGCAAAGTTTGATGCACTTCACACGGCTGCCATGTCTTGCCACGTTGAAGAAAAAACATTTTCATCAACTCTCCATTATGAATAATTAATTATCTATGCCTATGCCACCCTATCCCTGACGGTTATGTATGGTTATGTTTACTGCCTAGTGCAAGCTTCGATTGAAGCTCAGCCTGTGATTTCGAAGTCTAAAGTGGAGTCTAACTGGACTTTCTTCATTTCGACAGGATAGACTTCTCTGCCCGCGCGAAGCAGCTCTTTGACGAGCTGTCAGCTACAGTATAGGCAATGTCCAGCTATTGATCAACAGCCTTTGGGCCGTTCTAAAAGTTCACCACATCCGAATCACGAGAAGCCACACGATGCTGACGAGGACATGAATCCTGCATCATCTGCATCAAACAAACGAGGTTTCTTCAGATGGTCCCCCAAATCATCCAAGTCATGAAGCCATTTTCGTATTGAAACAGCCATGCTTTTAGGGATCCATAGGGATCCCAGATTTTAAGAAACCATGGCTGAAACCCCTGTCCTCTGAGACCTCTGAGACACTCATCACCTGCGGCCTTAGAAAAACCAGCTAAATATCTGACATTATCTGACAGCGTCTGACAGCACACTTGATCTACCATGGCCATGGTAACGGTATCCATAATCAACCCTTTTAATGTGTTTTTTTTTTTTCCGCATTTTGAAATGAAACCCAGTCACAAAAGGAGGTCATCACCTTGTCATCCACTAAAAACTGCTTGAAAAACCAAAGTTCTAGTTCTGACTCTATAAAGACAGGTTCTGTTGATTCGCTGGCCATAACTGGACCATAACTGGACCCATGGCATCTGCATCTGGGGCACCTCAGTGCCTGGTACAGGATCTCACGAGCATCCTGCTGATGCAGCTCATATACTCCCAACTGCGATCTCGGCCTCACAATTCCATGCAGCAAATCATGGCAAACCAATGGATCGGAAGTTTTTTGGGTCGGGTCGGGAGCTCAGAGTTTCAAAATGTCCCAATGTTTTGAACGCTTCCTTCGAATCTCATCTCTCTGCTCAAGATTTGAGAGCCCCGGACTGCGGCAATGGTTCCACGTCTGCGTCTGCACGAGACTCCTGTACTGAAGCCCAGCTTTCTGAAAAACAAGGATCACTCAGAAGCTGTTCCTGTCAACATGTTTCGTCTGCAATTCTAGGCACTACGAGTACCGACGAAAACAAGCACTTGGGGATCGATGCATGATATCTCTGTGTGTGTGTGCGCGTGTGACGTTAAAGCTGCACATCCCAGTCAAATGTGTTAATTGTCCAAAGTGACATGTTGCACCATGTCAAAACAGAAATATCATCAACTTCATCGCTATTCATGGTATCCTTGCTGAAAGAGCAAACCACACACACAGAGGGTGGCAAGATGGGGGGAATATTTTAAAGAAAAAACCCTTGTGTTAGTGCCGTCATTTGTTCATAGCTATCAACATCTGTTCATAGCTATCAATAGCTTCACAGCAAGACTTTGTGTTTCCTGTCCTGTTTTGCATCGGTTGCAATGAGTAGTGAACTGCTAGAGCTCTGCTCAAAAACCACCTGCGATGCGTCGTCCGTCATGATCTTCCTAGTCGAATCTGCGTCCAATTCCGACCACCATACTGATACAGGATCTATGCATCCCAAAGCGAGGACATCCCACGAGTAAAGCATTGCTCACATTTCATCACATTTCTTGAGGTCTTTAAATGTCTTTACATTTAGATCCTCAACGTTGGACCCCCACCGGGCCAATATGAAAAGGGCGCAACGAGCTGCCCAGAGCGGCGCAACGAGCTGCTTTTCGCTACTCAGCTTTCACATCTTTGACTTTGGTCTCAGGCGGCGTCATGGGCTGTGCTCCAGCGGCGCCCAAAGGTGTTGGCGGCGGGAGCCCGGAAGGCGTCACAGCTGGCCGACCATCAAGCTTTACACCAATAGGCGTTCGTAGCCTGGGAGTTGTGGGATATGTGGAGATGATGGGAGCTGTTTGACAATCAAATATGAAATACATAAATATCATCAAACTATATCAAATTATGACTGGAATACTATTGCGTCTTGGATCGTCTTGGACTGTTGCACACTTAATCTATGTCTGCCGCGGTCTGTTGTAGCAGTCTATTGTGAAGTCTTTTGTCAAATCGAGGCATCGACGGATGCCCGAGGGGTGTGTGCATGTTCACCTCAGCCGAATCACATGTGTGGCACTTGGACGGATCCCAGGAGGTCAAAACACTTTGATGGATTCCTGGGTACAAACAGCTAAGATCAGCTAAGGTCCAAACCCTCCCTGGAGTTCCACCTGCAACACATGGTGACTTCGACACCTTCCCATGCTGCGCTCATGAAAGCTGCATCCGCCTTGGGGCAATGGCGTGCCAGCTCCAAATGGCCTTAGTGCCAAAAAAACGCCAAAGTATATTGAACACCAGAAGGTTTAAAACTGGCTTGTCTTGTCCCTTTGTCCAAACTCAAAAGCTGTTGATGTTGCTCTCTGATGATTCTTCTGGTGCTTCTCAGTGGTCACAAGTATCCTTTCCCTGAGACCCACACCCCAGAGGGGTGGCTGTCGGTCGCCTGAGCGCAGTGATAATGACTTAACCATACTTAATCAGTAAGCTCACAAAAAGTGCCTATGGATTAGTGAGTTTAGCGCCAGTCCTGTTACATTCCCAACCTCTTCGTGTTTCCAGCTCGTTTCCTGTTTTAATCTGTTTGATCTCCAGGTGTCTAACCATTGTGGTGTGTTGCCCTCGCTCTGGTCCTTGAAGGCAGGCGTAAACCTGGAGCGTCCCACAGTCAGCTTGACCAAAGCGGACGTGGGAATCGGATGAAGAGGATGAATAGGTAGGGCGCCGTTGAAGAATTGAACTACCCTCTGGTAAACTAACATAACTATGGAAAATCACAATTTTTAATGGGTAAATCCACTATAAATGGCCATTTTCATGCTTTGCTCCCAAAACAAACAGAAGATGTGCAATCTTCCGGCAGCGCCAGTCTGGGCTCACCCTGATTGCCAGGTTCCAGTAGGTGTCGGTGCGCGGAAGCCCGGCGTCACGGCCCCAGAAAGGCCAGGAGTGCCAGGGTTCAAGCCTGGCCCCATGAACGTACTTTATGGGATATATATATATGGGATATATATATATGTATATGGGATATATATATATATGGGATATATATATGGGATATATATATATGGGATATATATATATGGGATATATATATATACATATGGGATATATATATGGGATATATATATATATGGGATATATAATATATATATATGGGATATATAATATATATATGGGATATATATATATGGGATATATATATATATGGGATATATATATGGGATATATATATATATGGGATATATATATATATGGGATATATATATATGGTATATATATATGGGATATATATGGGAAATGTGTGGGAAATGTGCGGGATATGTATGGTACGTAATAAGACACTTAAGATGTAATTGGGATACATTGTGTGATATATGTTATCGTAAGCTTAGGATGTTAATGTTGGATGTATTGGACAAACTTTACCTTGCCGTCCAAGAACTTGTGACTTCCTCTTCGGAAAGTACGGCCTTGACGGAAAAATCAGGTACATCCCATGGTTCATCATCATGTTCATCCAATTTTTTTTGGAGTGTTCTCATTTTCAAACAGTTGTTGCCCTCATTCTCCGACAGAATTTTCCAGCTTTATCATGTTCATTTATCTCCCATTGCACCCATAAATTCTTCGCACATCCCCAGTTTGTGTGATGAATTGGTTGCAACTTATCCAGGAATCATCCCAGTTATGGTCCAGTGATGGTTGATGAATGTTGATGAGCAAGTTAACATCAAAGATAAATAAAACCAAGAGCATCATCGAAAAATTATTCCACATACATAACTGGTAAACGAACTAACATAACTATGGGGCCACATCGACCGAATTTTCTATGGGGAAATCAACGAACTTTCTATGGGCCATGGCGAGTAAATCAGCGAACTTTTAGTCATTACCAGAGGGTATGCCAGAGATTTTCTCCATTCTCATTGGATTGGTTTGTTGGGGAAAATCCACAGGAAAGCCCGATCAATTTCATGGTAAAATGGTAAAAAAAACCATGGTTTGGACCCTTTGGGTTTCCCTAGAATCAAAACTACCGCTGCGCGCCCAACCATGCTTTTGCGCGCGAAAGGGCTGAAAAGGTCTTTGCCCATTGGGCTCAGGGGGTGGGGGGTGGGCTACCTTGAGCCCAAAACTAAGGTAAACCCTATTTAGGTCAAAACCTAGAGCGCGCTACACTAAGCTCCTACAGTTTGGACCCTTTGGGTTTCCCTAGAATCAAAACTACCGCTGCGCGCCCAACCATGCTTTTGCGCGCGAAAGGGCTGAAAAGGTCTTTGCCCATTGGGCTCAACCCCCTCCCGTCATTTCGGCAGATGCAAGGGCGACTGCCCGGGCGCGAAACGCGCCTCAGGCCTGTTGGCAGCGAGCCCGGCCGACACAGGGCCGGCGTGGCACAAAATTGGGTTTTCACGTCGGTGCGAGGTCAGTGTTCAACATAGATGCTGCCATTCCCCGGGAATATTCCCGGTCTTCCCACAAGTAGGAGTGGAAAGCGTCGCTCGCCCAACGTCCAAACCTTCTCACCACAGATGCGTCTTTAAATGCCGTCCATAGCGCGCTTGCACCACCAAAACGTAATGAGTGCGAACCAATCGTTCCACCCACACCACATTGGCAAGCGGCTTCTCTCAGCAGCATCTGGATCGCCTCCCTTTGGACTCCCTCTCCCGAGGGAGTCCTAAAGAGAGGCTCTGTAGCTTCGCAACCGCCCAGATATCTCTCTGGGAATTTCTGGAACAGCCGGACAACCGATTCTACTGGGCAAACTTGGTTTTCAGTTCGGTAGTGATTGCGATTTGTTTCCAAGTTGTACTTGGTCTTGCTGCCGACGAGCTTGACCCGAACTTCATCGGCCTCTACCAGGTTGCTGATAGTGCACAGTTTGCCATGAGAGTACAGCAGTACCTGGTGGCCCTTCAGGTGTCTCGAAAGAGGAAGGTAACCAAGGGGAAGGAATTCAGAGGCCCTCAACAGAAAGAAGAACCCAAGGCAGATCCCGGCCCACAGGAGCACAGACTCCGGGCTCGAAGACGAGCCACGGAGGCGATCATGTAGATAGTTGAGCATCCTGGGGGTCACTGGTGCCCTCCTTTCAGGAACCTTGTAACGCCTTCGTAGGCCTGCCAGTGCCATGGCAACTCTTCCTCGGCCTTCCAAGGGATCTTCCATGCCGAGTGAAAGGTGGACGCTGCGCACTGCGGCCAGCCGAAGCTTCAGCGTTCCCGGTGCGCGCCCTTCATTGCAGGCACAATGCAGGAGAAAGTCGATGAGGAGTGTTTCTTCCGTCTTATTGCTGGAGGGGCCAGTGAGAATCCAACTGACTCCTCTACGAGCGCAAAAAAGCATCCACCACTTAAGTTGAGATTCATAAGTCCGCCGGGTAGAGATGGCGAGGCGGTCAAGGGCGACACGAATGGCTTCCTCGTGATAATCTTCTTTGCACTTCAAGCGTAGGCCCAGCATGGGTCCAGTCGCCCCCTGCGCTGCCCTCGCAGCCTGAGGGCTACCTAGCCGCCTCGGCTTCTCAATACTCTGTTTCTTACCCGTGGCTTGACCGGTGGGAGACCCGGCTGCCGCGAGGGTCTCGTGGTAGGGTTCGAATCGAACCTTGCGGCCCCTCGGACCCCCCACACGGGTCCTTTCCTGTCCTTCTTGTGGGCCCCCGCAAGGTTCACCCCAGTGCCAGCAGACACCGGCCAGGTACAGGCCCAGCGCTATCGCCAGGAGGAACCAGTGCGCGATGGCATGATTCGTGTCCCTTTCAGCATCGTTGTTGCGCCTTGGGCCTCTGATCGAGCCGCGGGACTGGGACGGGGCGGCAACTCTTGCACACTCTGGGCAAGGGGCGAATTGCACCACATTCCTTCCTCGGGTATGCCCGCACTGCGGTTTGTGCCAGCGGGCCCCGCTCCAGGTGGCCTCCACGCTCCCCTGGTAGTCGTCGACCTCAGAGATGCTCACGCAGTCTTTGCAAGCTTCAAGCCAAAGGGTAGAAGCACCCGTGCGGGAGCAACCTTCTTTGTGCCAGTTTGCTCTGCGGCGGTCAAGACCCCTTTGGGACGGGTGCGGGCTCCTTCGCCGAAGATTGTCCGGTGCCGGGCTCGAAGTCGAGCCTCGACTGCCGCGACGGCGGGCCTCCGCGGCGCTACTGGTTTGAGTGCGCCTGCCAGTCGCAGCTTCCTGCTGGTGGGGAGCTCTGGGAAGGTTGCCCCTTGACGAGGAAGCCAATGGGTCAGTCCGTACGGGACTGTGGGCAAGGCTGCGTCGGCAGGATCCCCAGGCAAGGCCTAAAAGAACTCCGGTGAGGAGAACGAGGCCGAGCAGAACTGTCCCCTCGGAAACTAAAAACGGGGGCAACCTAGCCCCGGCGAGAACCACAGCATGGGCGTGCTCTTGCCCATGGAAATGCGCGATCGCGTGGTTGGTGTCACGTTCTGCATCATCATTGCGCGTGGGCGACAAGGCTCCCTTTGCCGCGGCCCGAGTTTCAGCTTCCTTTGCAGCTCGGTTCCTCTTCTTCGTGGCTTTTCGTTGGCGGGAGTCAGGTGCCCTACGGTATTTGGGTACCGCCCCACCGCCTTGTTCCCTCAGATGTTCCCGAAACTCGGCTATCTCCCTCCGAGCCGCCTGTTGACGTGCTTCTTCGGCTCCCTCGGGGGTTTCGATTGGTTCGTGCTTGGTGTTTCCTTCCGAGGTTGCGCCTCTTTGAAGTCCTTCCCTGTGAGCCTGGGCCCGCAAACGCGCCTTTTCTCGGCGGCGCGCCACCCAGACGCTGACTCCTGCTTCAATCTCCGAAGTGAGACGGTCCGAACTAAGGACCTTGGCGGTCTTGGAGGGTCGAGCCGGGTTGAATCGTTCAAGCTTTCTCATATACTCACCCTGGCTATCCAGAGTTTCCAGATACCGGGAGTCTTCTTCTTCACATTGGCGAACCCTCTGCGTCTCTGCTTCAAGGGCTTCCTTGATTCCTTCGGCGGCTTCCTTTCGCTGCTGGGTGAGGCGTTCCAGGTCTTCAACCAGTGCTGCCTTCTCGCCTCCCGACCCTTCCGCTTCCTTCAGGGCACTCTGGAGGTTCTCCCAGTTGGCAGTATCGGCCTCAGCGAGGGCCTGGAGCAGTTTGACCTTTCCCGTGCCAAGCTTAAGACCCTGTGCCGGGACCAGTTTTCGCTCCTCCTGGGGTTGCCCGGGCTCTACTCTTCCGACCGGCCGATACCTTGCGGGGAGCCCGATGGGCGAGTCCTCCTCTGACTCCTCTGCGGGCGGAGGTTTGACCCGTTCCAGGGTGAGGCCCTCGGGTTCCGCGCCCTCCTCATGTTTGGGTTCGAGACGCCCTGGTTTGGGGCATCCTTCACCGGGTCCTGGGTCCTGAGGCTTCTTCACCAGCGTGGGTTTCCAGCTCGATCCGGCAGAGGTGGTACCGGGCGCGGGACGCGCCTCGGCAACTCCTTGCCTTTCTTCTCGCTCAGTTGTGCCGGGGTCGAGCTTGATTTCTGCCTCGGCTGATCCTTGGTCGCTTTCTTTCTTCACTGTTCGGGTCGCAGGAGCTGAGGGCTCATCCGGGCCCATGTCACTCTCTTCCGATACGTTCCAATCCGCCTCGGAGAGAGTGACGACGGTTGGTTCCAGGGTTCGTGGGTCCACCTGGACCTCCTCTTCTCCCTCTTCCACCTTCAGCCCGGCAACAGCCGACGCCAAGCCTGTCGCGGTCTGAGCAAGGCCCTCCTTCAGGTCCTGTTCCTGCTTGAGGCTGCCGGATGGCCAGGCGGGGAGCCTTGAGCCAGAGCCTGCAGCTCCCGCGGTGCCTGTCTTGTGGAAGGGCACTGGCGACGCCTGCTCGGGTCGGGCTCGGGCGCGAGTGCTTTCCGAAGCGAACCAAAAATCGTCAGTAGTCCATGCGACGACCTTTCCCAAGGCTTCAGGCGGGATGTCAGCATCGGCCAGCCAGACGTCATTACC